GGAGTATCTGCAACCTTGAAGGAACAACTCATGTCCCTTCTGGGATTCGAACCCACGTCAGCCAGTGCTAAATGGACTATTCGGGCTCGCAATTGACCTCTTGTAGGACTGTAGTGGGTACTTTGATTGGACACGGGTAACTAGTGTTTTGTTTCCACCTGAAAGAATTCAGTCTGCACCAAAGAAATGATTAGACACATCACACTAGTTGCTAGTGTTCAGTCAAATTATACACTTCAGTAGTCCTACAGGAAGTCAATCGTGAGCCAGCCTAAATAGCTCAGTGGTAACGTCCCTGACTGCAGCTGTCACTGTGTAACGCGGGTTCCAATCTCAGAAGAGATATGAGTTATTCCTTCGAGGTTGCAGATACTCCTTTCTGACTGATTGGTGAGTGCCAACTAGCCCGAAACCTAGGTGCATTCAAGGCTTCCTGTGGCCAATTGCCTCCAACCATCTAATATCATCGAATGAATGGTCAATTTGAGATAAGGAAATAGAAACTAAAAGGTCCAGGAAATTCATTTACTATGATGATAGCATTCTCATTCCTTTCGGTTGCGATTAGAACACAGAACTTTAGCAGCACATCTAGATTCCATCCTCTTCCTCTCCGTTATTTTAAACCATCTCCACGATTGCTTCTAAAAAAAGCCACGAATTGATAGAAGCTAGAATTCATTTGCTGGCTAGTGAGTCAGTTGCTAATGTCTAAATGATCCAAGAGCTTGACATGTAACCGGAAGGTCCTAGGTTGTTTTTTTATTTTATTTATTTTGATTACAGCTTGATGCCACACCGTATTTTCAGTACAAGTATGGAATTTTCAGCATGGATATCGGTAGCCCAAATTTTGCAGGCCGACCATAGATATCGGGTGTGTGTTGGCAGGGGATCGAACCCCGGACCATGTGCATGATCGGCGAGAGTCCTAAACACTGTGCCACCGACGCACAGGTGGGTGAATATTGTGGATGAGTCTCAAATAAGAATAGAAGATTTATCCAATACTCACTGCTGGTTTTTAATGGTTTTCTAACTGATATCAACCCGTGGGCAAACTCTGTATACTTGTTTCAGAATAGGGTCTTGGTGATTTCGTCTGTACATACACAATACTTGCGGGATATTTGTATACCGGGGGCGAATATGTTACTATTATGTAAATTAAAAAAACGATTTCACCAGATTTCAAGTTACATTTTGTCACAAACTGATATTTATTAGAAAATCACTGAAAACCAGGAACTGATTGACAATTGTCTTATCATACTTTGAAACTTCTCAGCACTAAATACACACGTTCTTGTGAGGGATGGGATCCAAAGCGTTCAGATTACGAGGCAGCCACGTTGTCGTTCAGTCACTGCAAAAGAATCTAGCGGACTAATGTTCCTAACTTCTGCCAATTCTTCGCTATATCTGTCTTAGTGAACCCCATTAGAAATCCAGAAGCTTTATTCCGCGCAATCACTCACCAATGGGATTACTTCTCGAATGCACGAAAAATCAATTGATATAGGTATATATGCATCTGAGAATAAAATTCCAGACTACGTGCGTTGTTGACAAGCATTCCGTGACTGAGCAACCGACGTAGACATTATCTAAGAAGCATTAAAAGATAATGAATTACACCATTCAGCCACTGGGACTCAGCTCAATGGCTCATGAATTCTAACTTTGGCGTACTGTTGATGATTCCCAAACCAGGATGAAATACCTATCCGAGTGGAAAACGACGAGTGGGACGTTCGAGGGTGACATGAAGGAGATCGTGTAGTGGGGGAGGAGATGAGAGATTATGGTCATCCTCTGAATCCAGATGAAGAGGACAGCATAAAAACAAAAAATAATGGAGATACGTTGTTGAAGTGAGCCCTATGTTCCACTCCGAATCCAAGACAGCCATAATCATGATAACACGAACACAGAAAATGAATTACGACTACAAACAGATTCGTGTTGTAGTATTGTGGACTTAAAGTGTACTAAGATTATCAATTATAGAGTATATTCAAAATATTTTTCAGTGGTACGCTTATTAGACAATCTATTGTGATTGAAATATCGACCTACTTCTTTAGCGTTCCATTGTTCTTCTTCATTGTTAACTTCTCTGACCAGAACAACACACACTCTCTCTCTCAATTAATCATATTTTTCCGCATTACTTGACCATATGTCAGCATTTGTCATACGTAATGTGTGCCATTTCTAATATGATTTATGCGTTCTTTCCTGTTAATCGGACAAATGCCTTTTACTGGTGGGTGGAAAAATGCCGTAAAAATTTTCTCTATTTGTCAATAGTCATGGGAAAATCTAACGATGATATCTCTGCTGTAGTGGTAAATATGGGAAACAAATTCATGATTACCTTTCATTCCGATGCCTTCTGAGTGGAAAATAAGGCTTCAGGCCTGAGATCTGAAGTTAAGGTAGCGTTGGATGTTGTCTTCTTGCCAGGATGAAGTTGCCAGTCCCACAGTCTAAGTTACCTCTTTTTTATGCTTACTATCGTCTAGTATAGGTTCCGAAGTGTATCGGCTGGGGGTCGAATTCTCAGTCACGTGTGCGTGTGTGTGTGTATGGTTACGAGCATTCTCTTCCAGAACGTAAGCATAATAACCTTATTTGATAACTAACACAGTAATTGACTCCTCTCGTTCCATCCCGCTGGGGATCTCTCAACTGTATGTACCTCTATCTTAGTACTTGACTTTATTCCCACCAAGACTGAAATCCAGTACCCAACGTTCTATGTGCTGCAGACTCACGATAACCACCTTTCCTTTAATGACTACCAGTTGTTATCTGTCGAATCTGAATATTCAAGTGTTAGTTTGTGGGGATTTGATTGATTGGTTGCAGGATTTCATCATGAACTGACATTGGTTAGAGAACCATTGGAAAACCTCCCTGGGAGTACTGGATAGCTGTTTCGTCCAAGTTTTGGAATCTTCATCAGCAAGCACCCGCCGCCACTGTTCGAATCCAGGACCTTCTGGTTACAAGTTGAGCTACCTTGTAGAACATTAAGCCACTGGAACCCCAATTCAATGGCCCATGAATTGTAACTTCTGCCAATTCACGACATAGCGCGACCACTAACCAATGTCTTGAGCGAGTATTTGTCCTCACACCCGACCTGCTGCACCCTACTGGTCACCACTTCTGAATATTAATAACGAGCTCACTGATGGCTAATGGATGGAATTCCTGAATCTCATCGAAGGCTTTGATGAGGGCAGTTCTATATCGCAACTTGACAAGGTTAGAAATTAGAGTTCATTGAATTCCAATCGAAGAGGCTGAATAATTCACAAGCTTGGTCTCATAACCTGAAGTTCCCAAGTTAGATCCCTAGAGGAGTGATGTGTGCATACTGTTGAAAAGTCCCAGAACAGGGCGAAGCAGTTATCTGGTGATCCTTGGTTTCCGATGAACCCTCTAACTGCAGTTCGTTCATGATGCACACCTGACAACTAATATCATCTTTGGATCGTAACATGAACTCGTGCAAATTTTTAATTGACTTTCAACCAACCAATGTTCACTTTATGAAGAAAATGAAGTATAACTCCATTATGGATAAGATTTTATTTTGATAAAGTCACACAGTGTTATGAAGTAATATTTACTGATGACGTTTCGAGAACAAATTATTGCCACTCATAATCATATCAAGGTACTCATATAACTTTCTGGCTTCCTTTATATACATGAGTAAAATTGATCAGACATTTGAATAAAAATCAATATAAGATGAAGTACATTCAGAAATAATATTAGTGTTATCAATCAAATACAATCAGATGGGAAATAAGACGAGTGCTTTTATAGTAAAAATAAGTAACTTGTTAGAATGTTATAATGTGAATTGAATACATTTTTACATTATCTATTATCCTCTGATTTGACAAGCGGTAATAATATCTTCCATATCTCTGGTATTTGCCTTGAGTCATTTCTATTGCATGTGTTGGGTGTAGACTGGATGAACCAGGATTCACTAATCAATTTCTCTCTATCTACCTATATTACTTTTTAGAATTTTGACCCTCTCCCATACACCCTATTGTGTGATTTTGTGTTAATGCATGCAGTGCTATTGCTGAGCTCTTTTCTAAATTACTTATCTTCGCGAGGTCTATCATTCTAACATTATCTAAATTCTTATGTTCTGATAATCTCACTACTCCTGATCTACTAGTCTGACCTATGTAGTTGACCTCACAGCCATTGATATGATTATGAGCAATAATTTGTGTTCGAAACGTAGTTATCAGTAAATATTACTGTATAGCACACTGTGTGATTTTATCAAAATAAGATTTTATCTGCAATGGAGCAATGAATCTTGTTTTAGATATAATGACGTTGCTTTGCATGAAGATTCGATGCAGGGAGCAAATATTTCGGAAGAAAGCAAACTGCGGATTTTTCATAATTTGATAGTTGGAGGCAATCGGAAGTAAGTTCTGCTTGACCTAAGTTTCGTGCTTGTTAGCCCTCACCAGTCAGCAAGGCATATCTAAAATCTTCAAGGAACTCGTATCCTTTCTGGGATTTGAACCAGCGTCACTCAGTGAATGCTGATATCAGAGACGTTATCACTGAGCTATTCGGGCTAGCGATTAACCTCCTGTAGGAGTCTATTGGATACTTCAGCTGCACACTAGATAGCAAGTAACCACTGTCGTGTGTCCAGTCCTTTGTTTGGTGCAGACTGAATTCCACTAGTCAAGTTCGCAATGTGACCAACATACTAACTGGCTCGCCAAGACAGTTATTATGTGTTTGAGTGCAGTCATCCTTCAGTCTGTACCACACATAGGACCAGACGCATGATACTACTTACTGCCTAGTATCTAATGGAAGTAAGAATATTTAATTCTATTTAAACATATTTATAGAGTAATCTGTAGCAGTTTTAAAATCTCATCTCAATACTAACCTTTGCCTTCTACAACTTTTCTTTTCCTTTTCTATTCTAGGCACTTCTCAAGTAAATTCATACGTCCATATATTCTGTTTATACTCAATTTATCTGGATACACTTTTCTGTAATCTAACCTTTCTACAAACATTCTTTTCAAGTCTAGATGCTTATCTACGACTAAAGAATCCAATATTTTATCTGTCTTCAGCACGTAGACGTCCAGCGTTATGGTTGAAAATTGGTTCTCCATGGTTAATGGCAAGTTTACAAGCTATCGGGCAACTAGCTTTGAGTGATCGACGTCAAGTACGACTACACATGACAACACTAAAACCAGTGACGCCAAATCAATATCACCCCTTATTATCGTCATCATTAAATTCTAATGAGAAACTACTGGACTCCGGTTTGAATACAGCTTGTCTCCTACCTGATCCAAATTTTTTAATCATACGAACTGTGATCGCATATGCACTACCGCTGATCACCTGTCTTATATTAGTTATATTACAGCTTCATGGTCTACGTCGATTACGTCATCACTCTGCTGAAATGCTCAGTGCTTTATTAAGTGTTCGAAGTAGAAGTACCAATGAATATGAACAAATAATGTACCAACAGAACAATCCCCATTATCCAAGACATGAAATGGCCAGCATGAACAGACGAATCCCATCAAACTTTCATAATTCTGAATTAATCTGGAAGGTAAGAGATACACCGATGTTGAATAAGTTGAATTCGTCAACTAGTTCTTCACACACTGTAACACATAATCCGTGTAGACGTTTATCATTTATGACAAATTCTTATCACTTGGATACAGCGTATACAAATGAGACATTGGTTGCAGACAGTAATCCATCTATGGATCGAATACAACATTTAACTAATCCTCCATTGTCAACGATCATCCTATCAACAGGTTATTTGCCAGTTGAAAGTGTTAACGAGCTTCAATTAAGTAAGACAACGTCAGTTCCTGTATTTGAATGTCCTACTCACGGATGTATAAGAGTTACTCAGTCTACCAGTCCATTAGCTGTAACTTGTATTCCAGAAAGTTCCGGTCAACAGACAAAAGACCAGTTGTCACCTACACAGAACACATCAGCATCATCTGAAAACCATCAATGCACTGACCATGATGCCCGCGCAACAGAATCTATTCCCATTTCACTCACTAGTGTTAGCAGTACAGTTTCTGATCCTCCTGTGAATAATACTAACGATCCATTGATGGTAAAATCGAATTCTAACTGTAATGAACCGGTGACATCAGATACAATATTGCTTAACATAGATGGTACACAAGTCAAGTTGCTGCCGTTCAGTTATCAACAAGATCCACTTAGTTCTAGTGAATTGAGTCATTACCAGTATTTGCCATCAATGATACAATCAAATCTACTTCCACAACACCATCAGCATACTACAACTACTGTACATGAAATGATGCAGGGTATACCAACTGAGAAATTGTATAAGTCGAAATCAGACTACCAGATTAAGTCTAAAGGGGAAGTTAACTCACCGAATTCTTGTGATCAGTTGATTCGATCCAACAGTATGAAGACAAGTTTCATTCAACCAACCCCTGTAGGGACATTGGCCAATGATAACAGTGCAACTAACTTGTCTAAAACAAATTTATGGTTAAGTGCATATCAAGGAGAACAACTGGTTGTAGCTATAAATTTAGTGAGTTGTATCATCGCCGTGGGTACATGGTCGCCATATATTTTAGCCTCACTGGCGCATGGTTTATGCCAACCAATAAGTATACCGAAATCAATGTTTAATCAGATAATGCATCCTTTGTCGTCGTCGTCGTTGCCTACCTCACCAGTGACAATAAATTCTCATTTGATTTCATCACCACTAGGGTCTCTTTCAAATACTCCTGGCGGTAACCTACTGTCCAATCCCACTATCAGTAGATGTTGGATTCATTTAAGTGTTGACCGTTTGGCAGATTTTCGTTGGTGGGCATATGCAAGCTCTGGTCTCCTGCTGCCGTGTTTGTTATTCTTTCTTGATTTAGGTTTACGTGAAGGTTGTTGGAGAGCTTTACAGTATAAGACAAAACCTAGTGAAAAGTATGATTCTCCGAAAGCACTTACACATAATCCTAACAGTCAATATTCCAAGTCTATCAATACTACTAACAACAATCAGAGTAGTAGAGATATCAGATATCACCAGTTAGGATCCGTTAGAATCTCCAATATCCCATATGATGCCAACAGTACATCGAATAACAGATCTGTGAAACTTCAAGAATTTGAAATGACTTCTTCCATCTCACATACGAAATAATAACAGGTATGATTGTTGAACAAACATCTTGTGTGGACATTTCCAACACCTTGTCACTGTTGTATTTAAGAGGCTACGGAACACTGGAAGGATCAGATTTGAACCCAAGAGTTACACTTCAACCTTATACCAGCTAAAAATGAGTCAATTTATGAATTCTTCGATTCAGCAGTGGAGCGCACTTCACGGTAATACTCTCCTGAAGTAAATGAGAATGAAATCACACCAGACCAAAGCGGAAGCATGCGTTAGAATGTCCAATATGTTACTAAAATAAACAACTGTGTAGCGATAACTTGTTAATCTGATTCCAGAGGCATGCATTTAACGTAAACCAAAAGTAGTAACATTCCAGTGCAATATACTTACTTTGTTTTAGTATTATTATTATTACTAGTATTGATTGTATTTTCTACTTTTCTGGTTATCAGTTTGACTTTTATTTCAATAATTGTCTTCCTTTATGGGGTTTCATTGTATATACTGTGAAAAGTTGCTGTAATCATAATAATAAATAGGTGATACTGTTATCATTCGATATGGATTCTGATTACGATTTCTGATTAGAAATGTTATGCTCTGTTGAACAGTTGAAATACGTTGATGGATAAGACTTTGGACCTGAGGTTTTGCATTTCTAAGGAGTAGTCTTTCTGTATTATTATTGTATTATTATTGTTCCCTTGGGTTCCTAGTGGAACATAGGGCTTCAACTGCACGCCTCCACTTGCTTCTGTCTTCTGCTGTACTTTTCACTTGCATCCATGTTAGTCCATACTGCTCCAACTCTTCTTCACACGATCTCCTCCATGTCACACTTGCACTGACGTCCCACTCGGGTTCCACTCGAGCGTTGGCCTGACGCGCGATGTCACCCAGCGGCCTCCTCAGCGAGTGTCCAATCCATTTCACTTTCTCCTGCATATTTGTTGGGCGATTGGTTCTTGTTTTGTTTGTTCCCATAGTTTGTTTCTTGTTGGTGATTATTTCCGGCCATCTGATCTTCAGTATAGAGCGAAAACAGTTAGTTGTTGATAAAGGTCTGCAACAGGCTGTTGGAAATATTCTTTGTGACCCGCCAAGTTTCTGATCCGTAAAGCAAAATTGACTTGACGTTTGTATTGAAAATCCGAATTTTGATGTTGATGCAGGCTGAGTGACGAAGATTTCCAGATTGGTTTCAGGTTGATGAATGTGTTTCTCGCCTTCCCGATTCTTGATTTGACATCCTCGTCCGTTCCTCCTGTAGTTGAGACAATGCTCCCTAGATAAGTGAAAGAAGTAACCCCTTTCAAATCCCTTCCGTTGATGGTGATTGGCACTGGATGTTGCTGTTGTTGTTGTTGGTTGGTTATTTTCATAACCTCCGTCTTGTCTATGTTCACTTGCAGTCCTGTGTTTGCTGCTTCTTCGAACAGTTTGTCGGTTTTCGTTTGCAAGTCTTCGATTTTGTGTGACATCAAACGTAAATCATCCACGCGCGAAATCCAGGTCTTCTAGGTTCTTCACATCGGTCCAGGATATCCCTGTCTTCTCGTTTCCCACTGTCTGACGCATAATCCAGTCCACCACAATTAGGAATATCATTTGTGATAATAGGCTAGCACCCTTTTCTGACTCCTGTGTTTACTGCAAACGCCTCGCTGAATTTTCCGTTGTGGATCACTTGACATGTGCCGTTGTCGTACAGCTGTAGAATAAGGTTGATGAATATTTGGGGTACGAGTCTTTCTGTAACAATGGATAATAATTGTAGATCTGGTGAATATATATGGTCGTCGAACTGCTAGGTTCAACTGTGAAGATTTCTTGACAATCTAGACAAAATCTCCAGCGTTTACTTTAGTGTGAACTTATTTTCAGTGGATTATCATCTTATGTTCTCTTGTGTAAGTAGTGTTCGCTTCGTCGACCTCCTATTTGACGTTTGTACTGTATGACTTGCTTTTTATTGATGGTAAACAAGATTTATGCATTGACTGCAACCAATTTCATACATCAGTTCACTCGTGTTGATGACGACTGAAATCTACTGTTAACGTGTTCAATTTGATCACAAACCTAAGTTATTCACCATCGCTGTGTTAGAAGGTCGTAGACAATAGGTAGAATGTTTTGGACCTATATTTCGTGATTGTTGCACTCATTGGCGAGGTGTGCCTGCAGCCGTGAAGGAACTTATGTCCCCCCTTGGAGATTGGAATTCACACTACCCAGTATTGCAGTTAGAGACGGGTTATTCAAGTCCGAATACGTCAGTGGTAACTCCGATGATTGCAGTATAGTGTAAAAGGAGTTTCAATCTCAGGACAGAGTAATAACAGTCCTCCTTGCTAACGACTGAAGAAAGCACGAAAACTAGATCCACAGATTTCCACTGATTACCTCCAGCTAACTAACAGTTTAATTTATGTCAACAGCAATATATAAGGTTAATGTACACAGACTGAAAGGAATTACGACAATTACAATCCAACAAGACACAAACAAAACTGTAGGAAAAGAAAAAAGTACTGATTCATCTTGGTGTTGAGAATAATAGAAGATAAATATCTTTTGACCATCTTCAAGAAAAAATGATGTTCACACTGTGTTCGTATTTCCCGCCTCTAATTATAACCTTGAAATCCTATTGATCGTTGACTGTTTTAACTCACCAATTCAACTAGTCTCTCAAAATTAATGAATATACAACTGCTGCCAACCGTTATAGTATCTCTATATAGGCAAATTATGTATACCTTATCTTCAACGCACAACTTGCACAGATATTCCATGTCCTGCTACTTCTGTCCTTCATATTGCGTTTCTTTGTGTTCTTTTCACGTCCCCGCCATGTATCTCTACAAGTCTGTATCATTCGACTTCTCTGACATCAATTGTATATCATTTATATTTGATGTTTTTGTGCCAATAAACGTCTCTTTATATATTACTGATAAATCGTATCAATAGCACTTGCCATAATATCACACAACTTTTTCAAAAGATGTCCGCCAATCAACTGCCCAACCTTATGTTAATGCTCAAACAAGGACTTACAGAAAACATCCTTGGAAACCACAAGAAGAATTATTCTATTATATGTGAAAAACACTTCACAGACAAACAAATACAGTCGCTTCATTCAGTAGTCTATGGAGAAGAGATTCAACAACAGAAGAATACAAAGTGGATACGATGTAAAAAATAAACATCAACTGGGAGAAATACTAGATTTAACAAAACGGACATCCGCCTCATCTTAGCATCCAAAAACACATAAATAATTGAACAATGAAAAGACCTGAAATGTGTTTCTTTTATCAATACGTGTGGACAACTACAGACACCGATTCGGCTGCAAAATGTGGGAATTTCAAATACGTGGGATGGTGGAAACGCCATAGGAATTCTTAAAAGCCTAGTAGTCAGATGAATTTGCATTCAATAGACATGTTGAAATGAATAAAACCAACCAACTAGTAAAGAACCAGTCACATGATGAAAAGGTCGACGAAGCGAATGATACCCCAATATAAAAGTGCATAAGTGCAGGAAAACCTTAGATGACAAATAACCAAAACATGTTGACTAGAAGAAAACTCTACACTATCCCAAAAAATCATTTCATCCGAAGGTTAGCGACAAAGATTTCGTTTAGAAGGGTAATGAAGGCTTCGCAGAAAACAATAATCCAAGTGAGGCATTAACTGCCTGACGGAATTAAAATCCTTATCATGATTTGCAGAGGTAGTAACTGTAATATCTGGCAGATTCTATAGCTGACTCGGACTTTTGCCAGCTAATTACTAGTCGTTAACTAATTATACCAGAAATACTTCAGTCATCACTTAGAATATGGATTAGTCAGGTTTCAAAAATTTCTACTGGGCAAGAGATTTTAAAACTATCCAAAGATTTCTTAATAGGATTTTCAACCTTCTCAGCACTTCTACGTTCAGACACTGTAGGTAAATTAACACTCTCTTAAGGTGGCCATCTACTTGTGTGAAAGTAAATAAAATTGACCTCCACTTGTGGGAGATCAGATATTTTGACAGATTGCAGATGAAGCGAAAATATTTATTCAGACATCTGGAAAAAACAAAAGATTTGAGCACAGAATATCCTTTTCAATAATTTCCTCTTCTGGCTCTACAATTATTTATGTATATCTGTTTATATACATAGAATACTCTAGAATAGTTGTCAGACGAACTCTTAAGGTGAAGTTAAGATTAGTTGGTGTGCGGTAGATGATATTGAAAGCCTCGTTAACATCAGTCTTTTGCTATGTATCCACAAGATGAGATAGAATAACGCTATGAATGGATTTTGTTTGTCCTTTACTTAACCACGTAGGGTGATGTTTGGAAATCAGACGAGATTACAGTACAGCGAGATAGACAATATAAAGTTTGAATCCATATTTCTGTCAACATTAGGAGTTGGGAATTCTTATCGGAGTTGGTCAACTGAAGTTTAAGCTTTCTTTACAGTCCTCATAATGAACTGGTGACGGATTGACACTGCTCATCAATTTCCAATCACAGTGACCAGTCAAAAGTCACTAGTGGTTAGGACTCTCGCCGACCATGCATATGGTCCGGGGTTCGATCCCCTGCCGGCGCACACCCGATATCTATGGTCGGCCTGCAAAATTTGGGCTACCGATATCCATGCTGAAAATGCCATACTTGTGCTGAAAATACGGTGTGGCATCAAGCTGTAATCAAAATATAAATTTAAATATAAATATTACCAAAGAATACGGGAGATCTTTACACAAGCTCCAAAAAGACAATAATTTTGTTATTTTACAATTTGATAAGGGACAGTGTGTAGTACTAACGAATAAGAGGGATTACGTAGAAAAATGCACCAAATTCCCCAGGAGGAATCTAACTTCAAAGTGGATAATCACACAGAAGATCAAACATTGTTGACCGAAAGAACAATTGTGGAGCAGTAATGGAAACTTTTCGAAAGCAAATACACTAATGAAAATACAAATAGAAATATTAAACTGATTGAGTCACAGATCCCCAAATTACACGGGAACGTTAAAATGCACAAACTGGGAGCGCCCTTAAGACCTATACTTTCAAGGTTAAATTCACCATACCACAATTTGGCACATTGGCTACGTGAATTATAGCAGCCTTTGCGAAAACAATTTGGGATGTACATAGTTTCTGATTTATTCCAGTTTATTGAGCAAATTAATGATGTCACTGTAACTGGTAAGCATTTCATCTCTTTAAATGTTACTTCCTGATTCAAAAATGTCCCGATCATTGAGACTATTGGC